GCGTTTAGAATGTTAAATTAGAGTTAAGATATTTTTAAGCTTCGATATATTACTCTATAGACCTAAAATATCACTTAATGCTGGACATTTCTCTAATATATGTTTGATTGTTAACTTTTCTTCACAGTTGTTACATATTGCTTCTTGTTTGCTGGAAAACACATGGCTATTAGTTAATCGCATATGACCCAGCGTTGTCATGTTAATATTACCTGGCCTCTCCTACTTTTTGGTAATATGGACCAGGGTTTTATCGCTTTTTTACTATCGCGTAGCTTGACTGATGACAATTTCCACTTTCCTTTCCACATATTTACACCACACATTCCACACTTTACATTTGACTGCAGCTTTCACGTCCGCACTCGTAAATGTTTCAGTACACTCCGCACTATCACTAGTTGCAGCTTCTTTTGCACCGTTGTCTGCCTCTCCATTTCCTTGAATTGCAATATGGGATGGTATCCAAAAGAATATTTTTCCATTCAGTTGAGCGGTATGAACTTCGTGTTTTATCTTGATGACCAAAGGATTAGTCGGGTAGACATATTAGATTGACTGTACGGAACTTATAGATTCTGTGAGTATAATATAATTGGTATTATTAGATGCATTGGCAGAAAGGGTGGCTGGTATAGAGCGTATAGTTCAGTAGAGTAAATGGAGTACTCTAAAAGGAGTTTGTATTTATTTGTCGTTGTTGGAGTTATGACTGCAGCACCAGTACCTTCATTTGATTTAGATGCATCTGTGTATATATGTGTATAATCCTTGTAGTTGTGAAGCATATCATTGAAGGCGGATTTGATTAACTGTGGGTTTGTTGAATGTTTGTCGGAAGAAATAAGGCGGGTTAGGCACTGAGGGTTCTTTATTTGGACGGAGGAAGTGAGGACGATTGGGAACGTGTAGTTTAATTGATTTAAGTAGCTTCTAATCTTTGCGTAGAATGGTTTGGCCGTTCTTGGCTTATTTATGAAGAGATTTGGAAGTATTTTCTGTTTGAATAGTAGGGTTTTTTGAGTCAGACCTGATTTTTACCGCGTATGCTACACTCAAATAAAGTCTTCTGTCTTCTAGGAATGATTCACCAACTTCACAATAAATACTTTCGATTGATGTTGGGCGAAAAGCTCCAGACATTATACGTAAAGAGAGATTGTGAAGACTGTTAAGTTTTTGTAGCATTTTTTTAGTGACTGTAGCATATACAGATCCGTAGTCTAATTTTGATCTGAACAATGTTCTGTATAATGAGGACTTTATAAACAATCCTATTCAAATAATAATATTGATCTTGGATCACTTAAAGATATATGCATTTAATAACAGTGCTAGGAACGGATCTGCATGTACATATATAATTAAAGTATTATCTAACAAGTGCACACATACGATTGTTACACTCTAATCTGTGAGTGGGAATCCTTGAATAGATGATTGTAATCATATTACTGAAATCAATTGTCGCTTGTTGATTTTAATTATCCGTGTTATGGGAAATGTTGTTTTGAACTTCAAGATACCGTGACACGGAAATTATTTCTGTCAAATAATTAGTTAATTTATTTGGAAAATTAGCTTCTAAATTATTATCTTGTTTTTCAGTGTTGTGTGGAAAATTCACTTCCGAACTAAAAATAACAATATTTCTATAATGAATTCGTCATTTATAAGTAAAATTGATTCTTCTATATTTTTTCTATAAGTATTAAAAATGGTGTCAACGGTGTAAATATTCTGTGTCAGTAATATCGTGTACTTTTCTGATAAAAATAAATAGATTTTCAAAAAAATAAGCGAAACGTTTATCTTGGAAAATTTTTTGGTTTTGCTGAGTTGTTTATTTTTTTTTCGCTTTAATTTTTTACCCTGTATTCCATTTCTATTTCTATATTATATTCTTCTTTTTCTCTTAGCACTATAACCCGAGGTGAGTCTTGGCTGACTGCACAACTTGCTTCCATCTTGAACGATCGTCCATAATAATTGGGTCAGTGGGTAGCCCCATTGTTCTTAGATCTGACCATATATTGTCTCTTCATCGCATTCGTGGACATCGTAAGGGCCTTCTTCCTTTGAGGTTTTTCTCAATATTAACGCAAGGCGGTTATTAGGGAGTCTATGGACATAGCTAGCCCATATTAGACGTTGGGATTTAACTTCTTGGACTATGTCGCTCGCTCTATACATCTGCATTTTGACATCAGCATTTGTTCTCATTCGGTTTTGGGATGCTATTAATGTCGTTATACGGCCCAAAGATTCTTCTAAGTTTTATATATTCTAATCTTTGATGTTCGTGTTAGGCTTTTAGATTTAATAGCATTGTGGAGGCTGTACATACATATGTTTGCTGCCTGAATTCTTCCTTTAATGTCTTCTGAGATATCGTAATCTGCAGTGATTGTTGTTCCGAGATATTTAAAAAGCTCCACTCTTTTAAAGTTGTATGGGTCTATTGTAACATTTTGTCCTATTCGGTTTTCTCTTCGTTTAGCCTTAAACCAGTTTTCTTTGCCTCTACTTCCAATGTATTAAAAGTCTCCTGCATGTTGGTGACTGTGTTTCCCATAATATCAATTAATCTGTGTATGCTAATAGTAATTTATGTCCATTTACTGTCAGTAATTCTGTTTTATGTTGTGCTGCTCTTACTACTTTCTCCAGGATGATATTCAAATGAAGAGGTAACAGCGCATCTTCTTGTTTCAGGCCACTGCTTATTTCGAAAGATTCTGAGAGTGTGTTACTTATCCGTACTCTGGATCTACAGCTATTCACACATACTTAACAAGCTGGATAAGTTTTTTGGAACTGAAAGTTCTGCCATTGCATTCTACATCTGATCCCTTTTAATGCTGTAGTACGCTTGCCGGAAATCTATGAAGAGATTATGGATAATTAGTTCTATTGAATTCCCATCCTTTTTCAACCAGCTGTCTTACGAGTGAAGACCTGATCTTCCGAAGCCGGCTTGGTATTTCCCCATGAAATTTTCTACAAACGGTGTCAGTACTTAATAGGATGTTCGATAAGATTTTATATGCCATCTTAAGTAGATATATGCCTCTATAATCAGAGCACTTGGTTTTGTCTCCCTTTTTATGGATGGGGATTATTACACTTTCGCGCCATTTTGTTGGTATTTTCTCTTCGTTCCATAGTAGTGTTATTAGTTTGTGTAATTGTCTATGTAGAGTTTTTCGTCCGTACTTAAGGAATTCAACGAGTATATTGTCAGAGCCTGGAGCTTTTTCGTTCTTTAATTTGTTAATTGCTTGCAATGTTTCATCTATTTTGGGGTCCTCTACCGCTAGGTCCACCCAAAATATATATTTTCTCCATGTTCTTCCTCTTGATGTATGTTTAGGGTATGTAGGGTTCCTTTGTAGAGGTAGTACCTTTTGTCTTGAGACGGTCGCACCAAGAGGTATAGACTGGGGGTAGTTTCAAACAAGTGGTGCTCATAAACCAGTCTGCTCTCATTTATGGCTCCACGCGCCATAACCCATACATTTTTCTGACCAATTGGATTTAAGTCTCAAAGACAGGCCTACAGTTCATGTAGGCCCCTGGCTTCTAAAAACTTATTTCACATTGGTTATTTCACATTTTTTTTTGGTCCCTCGCCTTCTCTCTCCTATTTGTCACGCCGATTTCTGACAAGTCTTGCTTTACTGCTTCCAACCATTTCTTCGTTAGACGTCCTCTTCTTTTTTTTTCATTTCCTTCTCCTTCAGTATTGTTTTAACATTTCGATTCTCTGGCATTCTTATAATGTGACCAAACCATCTAGCTTTTTGGGCTGGTATTTTTGCCATAATTGCTGGTTTTCCATACATCCTCATTCTTTCTTTATTTGTTCGTCTTCTCCAAATATTCTCTGCCGTCTTTATTCCTCCGAAGATTTTTCTGAGCACCTTTCTTTCCCCGATCTCTACTTTCTTTACTTCCTGCTGGTTCATAATCACCATTTTACCAGCGTACATTACGGTGGATCCGATGACTGTCTGGCAGACTCACAGTTTAGCTTTTCTTGGCACATTTTTTGCTTTTAGTAATGAATTTAGTGACCCTATTGCTCTGCTTCCATCATTAATCTTTTGTCTACCTCTTTTTCTTCTTTTCCTGTGTTCGTAATGGTTACTTATAAGTATTGAAATTCTGTACACTTTTTCAAAACTATAGACAATCTGTGTTCTTTTCATTTTGATATATTATTTGTTAAGTCTCCTCTCACTTCGATATGTTACGTTTTGGTTTGGTTTATTAATAAACCGTATCTTTTCGCTTCTTCTTCAAATTTCTGGAAAACTTTTTCTAAATGTTTTTTTGTTCTCGCTAGTATCACCACATTATCCGCGTACGCTATGCACTGTTCCCTGCTATTAAAAATAGTCCTGTTTGTTCTTCTATTTGATCTATTTACGATTTGTTCTAATACTAGATTAAATAAATTCGTTAATAGCGGATCCCTTTTTTTAAACCCCTATTCACTGTAAATTATCGTCCATTGTTACCCCATTTTAACGTGTTTCTAATGCCTGGTTGCACCAATAGATCTTAAGCTCCAGCTTAGCCCAGCTCTGCTTATAGCTAGGGCTGCCTTAACTCTCACTTACGTTGCACCATAATTTTCGATTCTAAAATATTCTTTATATTCTTAAAAATAAAAATACAAAATTTGGTTGATCGCCGTCGGACGGTTCGTCGTAGTCGGTCGATCAGTCTGAGCTGAGGCCTACCTAAGGCACGTCTTAAGCAATCGATATGTTGGTGCAATCAGGCATAAGCGTCATTCTCACTAGCCTTATAAAATTTTCTGGTATTTCTAACGTTCTCATGGCCTCATATAGCATCGTTTGAAAGTAGTATATGTAATAAGTTTTGTTCGTAGCTATTATTTTGTATTAATTTTACCATAAGTTTTGTTCCAGTTTGGTTTTAGAAATTCTATAAACATGTAAGGAGCAATAATAAAAAGATATTACTTTTTTTTAAGTTTACTATCTCAAAAATGTAACAGAAAAAATATAAAAGAAAAAACAACTCAATTTCAAATCACAGTTATCCCAGAGCTGCACCTGCTGAGTTGTATAAACAACGATCCATTTCAAGGGCTGTAGTTTCTGGGCTACCTCTATCTACTGCGCAAGTATTGATGACCTGCAAAAGAAAAAAATATGTTACAGTTCATGTGTAATACTCGTATTATGCTCCATTAAAAATTCTCTAAAAATTTGTACGACTTAGAGAGCTTAGTACTAACATTGCACTGCAAGATACCAAACACACACACTGCATGATATTAATGTTTAAGAAATGAGATAAGGAAAACCCCAACAATTATAGAGGCATAAATCTACTGAAAACCACACTTAAGCTTACCACCAAAGTCCTATCCTAAACTAACCTAAACCACAAATCAATAAACTAACAACTTTATTAGATGAACAACAAAGACTCAGATGTGGAAGATTCTGCGTACACGCCGTATTTGTACTAAGACAAATCACAGAAAAGGCCATGGAGTACAATAAACCTGCACATCTATGTTTTATAGACCTGACAAAGGCTTTCGATCGCATTCAAGTCGAAGACGTCTTACCCACTATAATGTAAAATTGAAATTGCTGGGAAAATAATAAAGCAGGAAGTTTTGATATCTTCAAATAGATATAACTAGTTACGGAATTTAACAGGATCTATTAATAACACAATCTGGAAGAACAAAAACCTAAGACAAGGCACAAACACAAGAATCTATAAAGCAGCAATTAGAACTTTATTAACATACACGGCAAAGACGAGACCTAAAACATCTACAACGAGATGACTAATAGAAATAACAGAGATGAAAATACTTCAATGAATATCAGAAAAAAAAATCGGATATTGAGAGAAGCGAAAAAATAAGAAGAGCATGCAATATAGAATACATAACTGGATGGGTGACAAAACGGAAACAGGCGTGGAATGAACACATTAGTAGAATGGACGAAGAAGTATTGGCAGACTAAGAAAAAGATGGTGCTATAATTAAAACAATTTAAGAGGTTAATATTGAAGAAGGAACAGGCTTTAAAGTCTACATACATACAAGAAGGAAGAAGAAGAAGAAGAAGAGAATTGGATGAAGATTACTTAAGACAGAAATGGATGGAGGCATGTTTATACTGCCATTTAGTAGGTGAATATGTACATAATTTGTATTTTATAAGTACCTGTTGGACCCTTTCTGGTGACGCATTTGGAGCGATTGTTCCAGCCAGTTGTTCTACTCTGTTTCTATTTATTGATCCATCAGAATTTTGGACCCCAAGCCGTTGATGTATACAAAACAAATGTTGTGCTAAAACCGGATTATTTGGAAATCTTCCTTGTAACATTCCACTGACTAAATCGGGTTGTATCCCAGTTCTTGATGCACATGCTTGATGAGCAGCTATCAGTGGAGTAAACTGGGCAATATTCTAAACAGAAAAAAAATATAAGTATGGCATATGAAAAAATTATATACACAGTGCAGCAAGAGTGCGTTTAATGAAGTCTGATACATCTATTAATATAGCAGATAACAAAAAATTATTTTAATTTTTAATAAAAAGTTATTTTAGTTTTAATTTTTTACCACATCATTTTTACCCTTATAAAAAACACCCGTTGCAAAGGAATTCGAATAGTTGTAGAATGTTTTTTTCGTTGAAAATATAAATATAATGAATTTTGTCATCAAAATTTTATGAATTTATTTTATTTCATCTTAAAATCAACCCCTATTAGTTTGTAAGGATGACTGAAAGTATGTCTGTGCCTTAATAGCACATTATGTATATCTTACTAAATATCTCCAAGAATATATGATTGGGTTTTTACTCCTAACTGAGTTATCTTTTAAGCTATGAAGTACTTAAAACTAATTTTCTAGCTTTTTTTAAGGACAATAAAATCATATAAATTATTTCTTTTCAAACCCTGATTTTTAAAAGTGTTGTAGTTGAAAGGGCTTGAACGAGTCACTAATCACGAGTGTATGCAAACTTTGAACAGCAATATCTTAACCAATTTTTGCCTGAAAGAAAAACAAAAAAAACCAAAATGTTCAGAAAAGCTATGTTATTTTTCATGATTTTTCGTATCACTAATACTTTTTAATTACGTTATTTTGTAATAATAACTTTGAACCGGTCAAACTTAGATCATATAAACAATACATTCTTCTTCTCCTTGATTGATATCTGTCACAAATGTTGGCATTCTTATCTATAGCAGCGCGGAAAAGCTGCACTGATGTTGTATTGAACCAGTTTCTGAGGTTCTTTAACCAGGATGTTCTTCTTCTTCCTGGACCCCGTTTTCCAAATATTTTTCCATACAGGATGGCTTGCAGGAGAGTAAGTTATGCTCTCCTTCAAACAACACATAAGCTAAATAAATTTTAACGCATTAATGTAACAGTTAACAGTAATAGTAACAGTTAACAGTAACAGTTAACTCTGCCTGTGGTAGGGTGTGAAACAGGTCGACTGAGTAGCTCGGAAATCAGCTTACTGCAGCCGGTCCCAAATCCAGATAAAGGAGGAGGGTTGAGCGGAGGGTTAACTACCCACCCTCGGAAAAAGAAACTAGTTTAGTCTAGAAACCTCTAGAAACAGAATATCTAGCCACAAATACAATAAAACAACAATAAACCCACAATGGAACATGAACGAAATGCACAATACACAGAAACAACAAAACTATAGAGAACAACTTGAACAAACCTTGACCTCTAAAAGAGAATACAATGATCTAGGACAGCTATGGGAAACGACTGCCCAAATAATAACCAAGACAGCGAACAAGATCTTTGGAAGGAGTAGGCAGAAATATGGTATAGGAAGGAGGTATGTCGGAAACAGCTGGAAAAAAGACAAACAGTAAGGAAGACTTGGTTACAACAGCAAACAGACCAAAGTAAAAAGGAATATGACGACTGCCGAAAAGAAATAACAAAAATAATACGCACAAAGAAAAGAAACTATGAACAACAAAAATATGAAGCTATATAGAGAGACAAGCCCAAAGCAGGCTCCAGAGAATTATATAAAGCAATTTCTTCTAAGAAAAGATGGCATAGAACCAATTCCATTCATACACTGCAATCAAGGCCGTATGATAATCGACGGTAAAGAAGTAACTGAAGAATGGAAAGAGTATTTTAGGGATCTTCCAAACATCATACAGAAAGAACAGCACAAAGAAGAACTCTATATCACAGCGGATATACCCGTCAAAAATCCCTCCTTTAAAGAAACCCAAAAGGCATTAAATAAACTGAAAAATCACAAAGCACCGGGTACGGACGAGATACCAGCAGAACTTCTGAAATATAGGGGAGACTCACTACATCGCCAAATCCATTAGCTAATAACGAACATATGGTTAGAAGAAAGGATACCAGCACGATGGAAGGAAAATATAATAGTGCCCATACACAACAAAGGGGACAAAAACAAATGTGAGTTATAGAGGAATTTCACTCCCAAACACGGCATATAAAACCCTCTCAAACATCATTCTTAGTAGACTAATCCCTTATGCAGAAAATGTCCTAGGCGAATATCGAGCTGGTTTTAGGGCAAATATATCAACTGTTCACGCTGAGACAACTACTAGAAAAGGGATGGGAGTATAACAGACTCATACACAATCTTTTCATAGACTTTCGACAAGCATATGATAGCGTAGAAAGAAGCCAAGTATGGAACGTCATGGCGGAGTTCTCAATACCAAAGAAACTCATCCGGATGACCAAAGTCTGTATGGAGAGTGGAATATCTAAAGTACGTGTAAATAATCAACTGTTTGGCAGCTTTGAAATCAACAGCGGACCCAAACAGGGTGATGCGTTATTCTCACTACTTTTTAACCTTGTATTAGGGAAAGCCATGAGGTCGGTCGAAATAAATCAGAATTGCTATCGGTTTTTCCCAAGCTGTTATTCGCATATTCAGATGACATAGATCTCGGTAGAGACTCCATCCTATCCACGAAAGACGTCTTCAACAAGGGGTAATTTTCACGAGATTTTTACCAAAAAAAGTTATCAACTTTTCACTCTAAACAAAAATAAGGCTTTTTTACACACTTTCAAAAAATTTAATGAAACTTTCACGTTGAAATAATCGATTTGGAATTTGGCAAATAAGAACCTACTTTTCATCAGCTTAAACAGGGATTCTACTAGGTTTGTAGACTTCATATGTACACCATTTTTTTTTTCTTTAAGATACATTTCAGCTGAGAATATTTTCTTTTATAAATACTTACGTTTTGATTTATTTTTGAAAAACCGTCTGAAAACGTAGTTTTTCTTTAATAAAATGAACAATTTCACTCGCAAATAACTCAAAAAGTATTGACTTATTAAAAAAACTCTAGAATAAAAGTTGCTTTAAATTAGTCAATTTATTCATTTTTGTTTGTTTTAAACAAATGTTTTTTCACCCCCAAGAAGGGCTTACTTTCACTATCCAAGTAAAAGCAACACTGGAGTTGAGTCCAAAAGTTAAGTAGGAGTAAGAGGAACCTAAATTAAAATTTTTAAGCTGATTCCTTTGTGACAAGGAAAATTACAGTCCAAAACGGTCATTTACTGGAGTATAAGGTAAGACAAATTATAGATATGGCAATGGTATAGACAATAATAAGAACATTGATACATACCTGAGAAATTACGTAAGGTAAGAACACCACAAAAGTCAATGTTAGCACCTTCATTTTTAACATAATAACGCTGTTCTATAGAATGAACGGTTTTTATTAGACACAAAAAACGAAATAATATAAGTAATTAAAGAAATTTAATTACTATTTTCAAAGTACTCTGCAACATCATTTAATAACTCACTCATTGCAACATTCAAGGAATGATCATATTTATTATGTATATTATATTTTCTAATGCTTTAAACAATTAAGCTTGAGAAAACTTTGAATATAACGTAAAGTAATTAAAAATATCGCAACACTGGAAAGTTTTATTAGCTTGTTTAAAATTTAACAAAACAGCAACAGATATCATACACAAACGAGATATTAAATAGTCTGCTATTTAGACCAGCGGAGAACACCCAAAAAGTGCTTCAGTTTTCGATAAATCCATAACTTCCTGGTTAACGGGTAAATTTGGTACAATAACAAAATGTTTGTAATGATAATACACCAGTCTATGAAAAAATCATTGATTTCACATAATCTTATACAATTATTTAAAAGGGTTCTAAAGGGTTCATCTGATTATATTTTTTTGTTTTAAACAATCTTAAAAACTTCTTATACATTTCAGAAATAAAATGGGTTAGTTCAAAGTTATAGATTATAGATCTTAGAAAGTTTTTTGGTATAGATTGTTCCTATTGGTCGTAGAAGGTTCTGTTTTTTTTGGAAACTCGACGACTCAATTTTTGAAATAGTAAGATCGCTTCGCTTTTAAACCATTATCATAAATAGCTCATTTTAAAAGGAATCTGGGTTTAAGCTTCGTAGGACATTAGGATGTTTTTAAACTTCATATAAAATGTCTGCAGGGTAAATAAAAATTAACTTTCTACGTTAATGTTGTTCTGAAGTTATTTTCTTGTGGTATCTTAACACGTTAACTGCGTACGTAACCTAATAAGAACATGCCAGGTGCTAGGAACTTTGTTTCAACAAACAGTAGGGTAAAGTGTGCAAATCGCGGTAAGAAGAAAATTTAATATAAAAAAAAAGTAAAACTCTGTGAATGGAATTTAAGCCGTCAATCCGTAATTTGGGGTTTTAACTTATTGCAAGATACATTTAATTTCAAAAATATAAAATTTTTGCCTTTGACAGAGACAAAACATAAAAAAGTATCTTTGACCGGTATTGTCACCATACATGGACAATACCGGTCATGAGTGTGGGTAATGCCAGTCAATTTGTTTGTGTTATTATTAAAATAAAAATCAATATCTATTTAACATTTTTTTGTTATAAAACGATTAACGAATGTGGCTTAATGGGTCATAATTCAAGTAAATCAGTAAGAAAGGTGAAAAAATATTTTTTATTACAAAACAAACAAAAAATAACAAAAATATGTGTTTTAATGTAAAAATAGTTGACAGTCATCGCAGGTGTAACTCTCTGCAGAATCCCATCCACTGCACTCTGAATAAGCCCATCGTGAGCAAACGGTAAATATATACCACAATTCATTGTTTTTGCCAAACTCGCTGTAAACCAGGCATCTATCTTCGTATGCATCGTCACTGTTATCACATGATATATCAATATCCGATTCCAAAGAACTAGAATCAAACACCTTTTTCTTGTAATGCCAATTACAAGAAAAAGGTGTTTTTATTACAAGAAAAATTATCTTGTAAACCCAAATGCTAATTTTCTCAGTTCTTTTGCTGTTACGCCATAAAAAATTAAGCTAAATATTTTTTTGTGTGGCTATTTTAGCTTCTTGTTCGGCAGAAAATACTGATTTTCTACCTAATTATTACCTTGAAGATTTTTATTTTTTATTCTTTTTTGCAATGTCGAAAAATGGATGGATTAATTCCTAAGGATTAATAGTATAGGGTATAAATTATAGCATGGGGGTAATACCGGTCAACTGACCGGCATTGCCTCCCGTTGGCATTTTTTTTCTTAGAATTTTTTACTCGTAAACATATATTAAAATATTGATCTTTAAAAAAGGAATAGGCAGCTAACGTCATTATAATCAATTGTAACCAATTTTAAGATCTACAAGTGAATAAAAATTAATTAAGACCTTATATTACTCAGCATAAAAATAAGATCGAGAACACTGAAAACAGGTTAATAATATTTCTATGAAAATGGTTTGCGCCAACTCAATTCTCGTCAGCAATCTGAATACAGAGTAGTGTAGCGACACGTTGGCAGTTATAGGAGGTTGCCAGATTGAATATATTTCGCACAATCGGGATGACCGCCATTACCCACTGACCGGTATTTGCACAGTTTACCCTAAAAGAGTTAGTTGTTGGTATTTTATATGATGTTTTAGATGTTTTAGATATTATATACCACATTTGGAAGCAAATGTCAAAAGAACGCGGATCCGCGCCGTTAGCAGCACACTTTAAATTTTGACATCAAGTGCTAACGGACTCTGATTCGCGTCTTATTTTTGAAATAAAAGGCTACAAAAACATTATGTTTGATTTGAAAAGTATCAAAACATACACTAAAAATAAATATAATAATAGCAACTTGAACGTTATAGGTAACAAATCACGGCCAATCTACCCCCCCTCTTATGATAGGTAACAAATAGTACATAAAAATACACCAACTAGAGCCATTTTCGGTCTTCATGGTATGTTACGAATCATGTGCCTAGGCAAAGACCAGATTTGTCAGTACAAATAAAACATTCATAAATCGTATCTTTTCTTTCACTTTCACTGTACACACCCTGCACTTTCTACGTTTCGTTTCTTCTTTTGTGTTTTTCTCAGCTATTTTGCCCAAAATATGCCGCTCAGACAAGTTATTTAATGAGAAATGAGAAGTGAGAAAAGGCAGCAAATATTTGATTTGACGCAAACAAATCCTATGTATCTCTTGATACGTATTTCGACCTAATAGGTCTCGTCAGAAGAGCTATTCATAGGGTTCTCAACGTGAAAAATTAATATTTTCTGCCTTTTAAGAAGCAACAAGAACATGGCTTCAATACGGACGCAATAGCGACATCTAATTACAACAATCGTAAAATAGTTTCGAAACACAATTCACATTTCTGCTTTATAATCTGAGCCTTCTAAAAATTGCAAGGCAAACAAACGTTGATAAAAGATGTTCAAAGAGACATGGGGAATCTAAAATTTGCATTCCACGACATGTCTTTTACAACTAAGCAGAAATTCTTAGCGAATTGTGCTTCTAGTCCTCACACAGAGTAAATCCGAATAAAATGAGAAAAGGCAGCAAATATTTGATTTCACGCAAACAAATCCTATGTATCTCTTGATACGTATTTCGACCTAATAGGTCTCGTCAGAAGAGCTATTCATAGGGGTTCTCAACGTGAAAAATCAATATTTTCTGCCTTTTAAGAAGCAACAATAACATGGCTTCAATACGGACGCAATAGCGACATCTAATTACAACAATCGTAAAATAGTTTCGAAACACAATTCACATTTCTGCTTTATAATCTGAGCCTTCTGAAAATTGCAAGGCAAACAGACGTTGATAAAAGATGTTCAAAGAGACATGGGGAATCTAAAATTTGCATATAAATATATATAAACATATAAATGTTTTTTATAAGTGTTTCGGCAAAGTCCATACTCATGTAAAAATTGTCCATAAACTAGTGACCTGCATTTAGATGTATGTGCATCAATTTTATGACAACTTTTTTTGAGTGGTTGTTAAATAAACTAATCCGTTAGGTTCAGTAAGTACATACATTTTTATACCAAATTTATGGCGCTTATATTTAATATACATTCTATCAGCTCAAAAAAAGTTTCATCTGCCAGAAGACGAAACTAATCAAAAGGTATCTTACTTTGTGCTGACTGTACCAACAAGTTGCAACATCTAATAAACTCAAATTGTTTCATTCCATTAGGATAATTTTGCCATTCATGTATATTTGGATTTCCTGCATTTGGATTTAAATTTTCATTGAGTTTTTCGCCATAACCTGCATTTGGATTTAAATTTTCATTCAGTCCCTCCTCGTTTTGCATGGCTTCCACAATACCCGAAATATCGTCGTCACCTACAAAAATATAAATTGAACAGTTTTTTAAACTCACTTGTTTCCAACTTACCCAACTCATTCCCATCCTCATCGTCTGTAGACGGAATATATTCGTCTTCCGATAAAATATATTCATCTTCACTATCTGATTGTGTTAAAAAGTATTTAAGTTCTTCTATTAACTTTTTCTAGGATTTTTTATGGATATTTTTTACGTTTTGGCTGAGAACAACCTGGTTCTGCATTCTCTTTCATTGCAATAGTCACAATAAAATAAAACAAGAAAAGTGACAACTGTGACACAACTCTCGTGCTAATAAAATATCATACTCTCCATAGAAAGTCATGTCTAAAGCGCAGATCCGCGTCGTTAGCACCAAGGAATGAACGGCTGGACGCGGATCCGCGCCTTACACAATGAACTTGTTAATGCAATTATTAGTTTTTTTCATTGTGAATAAGCTACAATTTAAGTTTGAAATCAGTTTAATTGGAATAATTAAACAATAAATTAAAAAAAATACCTTTACAATCCCTCATTTTAAGTAATTTTCTATGCTTTTTGAGTAAAATTGTATCACTTGTCCATATACTTTACTAGTCTTCCCTTTAGTATTTAAAATAGCAATATTACACTGTTTATGTATTGTTTATAAGTAATAAATGACGTTTAATCTTGCTACTCTATTTATTGCATATTGTTATCACCAAATTTATCCAAAGAAGTTGTTGGATACCTGTATTAATGAGTCTCATGGGAAAATCGTTAGTTCCCTGATCTATAATACCATCTTTTCTCTTGAACATACAACATAAAATAGTAAAAAAAAATAAAATTAATTCTATTACTATTCCCCAATTACCCTCATTAAATCCACAGTATAGACAACAACTTATACTGTTCTTAATCTTTGTTTAATACACATAAATATTTAATACACATCGTGTTGCCATCTTTTGTCGTCCACCAGTACTTATAACTCTGTAGCAAAGGAACCTTCTAGAAAATATTTATAATTACTACACTTTTATATATAAATTTTATTTGTATTTTGTATTTAATTCGGTATTTTAATTTTTCAGTAAATAAATAATATCTAAAAATACTTACTTAAGTATCCACTTAGAAATCAATAAATTTA